ATAAGTTATAGACGTAAAGGACCTTCTTTAGCGATTTTATAAACATAGGTACATTTTATAATTTTAATTTATAGATTTTATGCAAATACATTTGTAATCAATTATACATATCTATTTTAGAAATATTATACCTTGTTCTAAAGTKTTTATTGGGGTACTACAATGATAAATCAAGCAATAATATACGACACTTTCACACCTTGTAACGACAATGTACGAAATAGTATTTTGATGGTTTTCGAGAAAAAAATGTGCTATCTATGTTTATACCTAATAGTTAATAATTATGAATGATAAAAGAGTACACTTTAAAAGCTCAATCGCAGTATTTTAAATCGACAATAGTTAAATAGAAGGAGSTAAAAATTATCACGTGTTGACAGTTGGTTCGCCTAAATGTTGATTCAAATTTAGGTATGGACTATAATATAGTGATGAATTGATGATATCTAAATGGACTAAATGCATTATTTTTCTTTGAATTACCACCATATTTTCGAGGGGCCTAATAGTATTTATTTCGAATAACCGTGTTTCAAATTATTATTCATTTAAAATATTRAGATTCCACCGTATACAATTATATTGAGTTTGTTATACCTGAGTCCACTATTGCCTCATATGATTTTTCCAAAATTATACGACACATAGGATCCATAGTATGAGCTTGTTTATAATGAACCCCAAAAAATGCTGCGTCAAACTTATTTACTTGGTTCAGTTTTCCAGTTCGCTGTGGGATTTCCGGATGTTCTAAAATAATATATAGGTATTAGATAAATCATCATTTTATTTAATCATATATAATTATCATAACGTWAGCAATATTCAATTTTTTATTTTTACCAATAGTCCATCTTCTGTTATCATCAGATATTAAGTCCACTTTGTTGAAAAGATTGTCAGCAAAATTTGGAAGACCATCAGAGTCTGGAAAAGATCCAGAAAACCCCGATATAACGATTTCATCGCCCGGGTCACATTTTACTAAACGGCGACCGGCCTTCAACGCTAACTCCCTATCTGTTTTAATCTTAAGCTCAATAGCTTGTTGTCTCGACATATTGACTTACCTAAAATTACCGAATTATTGTCATTAGTTCCTAACACACCAAAAAACAATATGGATATAACTATATTATATAAGTACTGAGAAAAAACATTTGTCCTATGTAAAAACACATCTTTATTCATTTAATTAATAGATCACAGGATGTGCCATTGATTTGCATAATATATTACGATCACAATAAACATAAAACTATTTGTATGGGGTCGTATATATAGTCGTTAAAGGTCTTAAGGTCGTAGATCATTTAATCAACAAACGAATAATTTATGTTTTACTATAGATGGCATGTATAATACACGAATGTAAACTATAATAGTATAATATGCATTGAAATTATTTAAATAGGAAAGTTTATTTTTTTACATAATAATTATAGTTGAGTAGTTATATGTGTGATGAGTTCTGAGTAAAATAGTTATGAAAATTAAAAATCTACATATGACACGTGTAATGAAAATTTAAGTAATATTATGTACTATCGGTAGGAAGTATGGTAAATAATGGTAGGTATTAATATATCAAATAAAAAACAATAAGGAACGAATTTAATTTCATAGTTGCATGGTTGCTAGGTTGCATACGCCTATTTAATATCTATTGTTTATTATTATTGAATTGTTATTAATTATTAAACACTTAACTGGGCATATCCTGACACCCACCTTGCGTATTTATAAGTTATCTATTCTATTTTTATGAGGTAGGTAGGTATTTCTTTAACATAAAATTTATGAAATAATTGATAAGTAGAAAATGAATAGGTACTCCAAAATCTTATATTTATACATTTTTGTATAGATTGTTAAAAAAAAAACTGTCTAAATAGTTAAAAAAAAAAATAAAAGTGTAGTAAAAAACAATTGTCTGATACATTAATGCATATTATTTCGCTATTTTCGCTAACATTAAAAATGATATTAATATTATTATAAGTGTATAATGTATAAATAATTATTAACTATATATTCAGGTAAATAATTATGAAAATAGCCAATAGGTATAATGTTTCTATTAGTTTATTTTTCTTCTTTAGAGATGAGTGGAGTTCTCAAATACTTAAATTTGCCATAAATGTAAGGCCTCACAGAATGTATTCCGTCCTGGCCTCACAAAACCCAACACCGACCCTGGTTGTAGATAGGTACTTAATTATAAAATCAATTTTAAGAACACGAAATAAATTAACTTAATTGAAGCTAATTCTAAATTGTTTTACCTACTCGAATAGCCTGGAGTAATAAGGTAAAATTTTTCCACCGAATAAATTTAATTATAATTAATTACTAATTTTCTGTATAATGTGTTATCTGTTTAAGACTCTAGGGCAGGGTTGGAAGGTTGGTCGGAAAGACGGCAATTGAGGTCTGTAGAGAAAAAAACGAACCATCAAAAATAATTACTTTAAGGCTGATTATTTTATTAGTATTGATCTGTGTAAACACTGTAAACTCAATACAACTTGCTAAGCAAACAAAATATGTTTTAGACCAAGAAAATTGTTTGTCAAGTTATCCAGACTCCTGTCTAGCTACGGTGTACCTACACGAATATTGTCTACCAGTATAATTGTTATGAGGTACAGGTTTATACATATTACATAATTTATTATGTATTATCTATGGTGGTACCAATTCATCGATTTGTGCTCCTCTGTTATCTTCATTAAATATACTTAGCATGAATTACCTCCCAACTAGTGCCAAGTTAAATTATTAAATATAATTTTTCAGTGGTTTTCAATCGAATTATTAATTTTAATACTAATAAYGCMTTATTATTTATTAATATATACCAGTATACCACATATCGAAATAATACATTTTTATACAATTTACATAATATATTGGGTACCTAATTAAAAGATTATGTGATTCGGTAGGTATATTATAAATATAAGGTCGGGAGATCCACACCAATTTCGTACCTGTGTTCTACAAATTAAACAGTGCCAAAGTATTTATTTATTATACCTATCATAGCCTAAAAGGCTATATTAGATACCTATAGTCCATTATTGTACCAAAGATGTTGATATTCCTATTTTAATCAATGTCTTTAAGTTAATAGGTACAAAAATTGAAAGTTGGTTTTAGAATAACCAATTTTATGGATAGGAATGTCGTAGCTTAAAGTTGTACTTTAATAAATTTACCATTATCTACATTTTTCATGGATTTAATTTGTATATAATTTAATAATTTAGAGAAAATGTATAGATAATTTTAGTATAAGTATAAATTGGTATTCATGTCGTATGCATTCTATCACGTATGTTTCTACACGTCATATTCGGTCTACTGTAGCGTATCTATATATATWTTTTTAYGGTTTAAAACTTCGAATTATTAAAAAAATGCATGGTACATCACAAATCATTGCTGCCCTCGTATTTAGCGGAACAATGGTGGCGTCTAAAAAACAAGAATGACAACACATTTGATTGTTTTTTAAGAGATGTRAAAYTATATTGTACCTAATTTAAATTGATTAATGCATATCTCTATATAATTTTACATTTTTTGTCAGTTAATTTTTAATACAAATACTAATTAAATTTATCTACATATTATAATGAATTAATGCATACTTTTATATATTTTTTTAATATTATTAAATATTATATTRAAATTCTACATTAATATATTGTAATCCTACATTTATGTATTCATTCATATGACTTTATTCATATSAACTGTGATAGGTACACTGTCATACATGCATGCACGGTAGACAACAAATGTGCGGTAGACCGCAAATGACATGTAGAAACGAGCGATAGACCACATACGACATGAATACCAATAAATTTAATGCTATTTAATTCAATTAAATGAAATTATATCATTATTCTAATTTATAATCCCTCGTTCATTTAAATGTGTTGTATATATTTTTTAAAATAAATTGAAGTAATAATACAAGTAAAGTAGTAGTATTTTTATTGATTAAATGTAGTCAAGGATTTTTATGATACTTGTCTTTTTTACTAAAAACTTTTTCATCACATTTTCTTAAATATAAAAGGAATAGGTCTCAAAAAAAATGACAATGATTACCTATCCAGAATCTTTAATATGTTTAGGTAAGACACTAGTTATTTAGCTAGATTATTATAGTAATACAATGTAGTCAAATTAACCTAAATACTATAAGTTTAGATTTTAGAATAAAATCCGTATTTAATATACTTTTGATTTTTCAGTACATGAAACGTATCATACTTCAACTCTGTCTATATATACATGAAGACTTGTAAGTAACAAATATTAATTATTCTACTTTATAAAAATCAAATAAAACAATAAAATAATYTTATACTTATATGATTCTTAAATAAATTTAGAAAATTTCTAATTAACTTAAGTTTATTGATCATCATTCATCATAAATGTCAAGACTTAAGTGTTCATCATTTATTCATAAATATTTAATTACTTGAAAAAAAAAATAAAATTTTAAAAACAATTTTCAATAAAAATAACTCAAGATTTCAAAACTGATGACATTTAAATTTGTACAGATACAAGTTTAACCATCAAAACACATAACACAGTGTTTTATAATRTAAATATTAATACTATGAGAAAATAAAAATAACTAGTAACTATTGTAACTTACCGTTTAATGAAAAAATGATAAATATATAAAATGTCCTTAATTGAAATTGATCCAACGATTACTGAAGTTGTGCCGAGAAGGTTCTCGGCAACACAATGACAAACATACCCAGTTCAGGGTGAAAAAGAGTCAATCAAAAAACATATTATTGAATTATTCATGAACTTAATAAATATAAMATCAAGGTCAATGAATGGACAAACCATGTGATTGACTTATAAATGCAGTATTAAATTCGGAATAAAAAAAAAAAATCAATACAATTAAAGAAAATTTTGGTGAATTAATTGAAAGAGGTCATTGTTCTCCTTTTTGAATTCACATTGAACCCTATTCATCAGATACATTAGTTGATTTTGAAGAAACACAAGAATTGTTTTCACGTTGATGTTGAGAATTCTTTGCTTCAGCAGATAGACGTTCCATCAATTCATGGTCATAAGTAGAGTGTAGCATTAATGCTAAAACTCCTGCTCTTGAAGACATTCTATAACGTATCTGTCTTTCCTTCTCAACTAACTCATCTAATTTTAACCACTGTAACATTAAAAAAAATTGTATTTAAGAAATATTACAAAAAAAAGAGAATAAGATAACCATTATGCAGTACAGTGTAGGTGTAAGTGTACCTAGTCAGTGAGTAAGTTACTGTTTACTTAAATTTGAATTCAATGATCAGCATATATTCAAAGTATATTTTATGAATTATAATATATTTAAATTACAATTAAGAGGATATTGCAATTGCATAAGTTGTCTGTATGTTAAACATATACTACATGGCATATTCTTGTTCACTAGTTATAATAGTGTGCTTTTAGATTTGATATTAAATTTAATGGATCCTTTATCAAACTTTAGGTTAGAACATTATCAGTGTTCTCTTGTTTGTTCTTTACAACATTTTAATTTTTAAATAAGAATGTCAAGAATAAATATTTGAAAATGCACATAACACATTTAAAGATTAGAATATCACAAAAAACCAGTGTAAAAGTTTGATAATGGGTGAATTCACTCTAATATCAAAACTAACACCATATACTATTGAAATTATTGAACAAA